CTCTTCCAACAAATGGTTTAAATGTTTAATTCTCTTATCATCAGTTGATTGGAGTAGATTAGTTTAGCTACAACTCAATGCATTCTGGTTTGGGACTTTCTGATATAAAGATGCATTAGAAGATTCTTATCACACAAGAATTGCAGTACGTCAGTGTGCATGTGGTTGCATGTTTGTGAGAGAAAATAGAGTGTTCATGTGCATATGTATGCGTGTATGTGTTGTGTGTGAGAGAGAGAGAGAGAAACAGAGAGAGAGAGAGAGAGAGAGAGAGAGTAAATGCATCTCTAACAACTTCGTACGTTAGAAAAGTACCTCCTTATCAGACATCCCAGGTTTACCAGAAGCCTTCATGGCATGCTCTGCCTGCAATATCACAAGCAATAGTAAGCAAATCAATGTGCAAGCATTATTCTTCTCTGTAGGTTTCAATTCAATCTAATGGTCATCCAGGAAAGAAAGCTCCTGTGCACCAGAAATCAGAACAATAAGAGGGTTATCCAAATATCAAAAGCAACAGCAATAGATTCAGAAAATTGATGGATGGATTTGATTCATGCTTGAACAAACAATGGATGGTCAAGATTTAAGTCGATATTCAACCAAAAAAACGAAAAAACTCTCCAATACATTAATGGAACTACGAAAATCAAATACAGACAAACCTGCAGACGCCACTGGTATACACAGCTTGGATCCTGAATTTTAATAACAATCCATGATTTCACAAAACTGTCCCATGCATCATAATAAGCTTCAAGATTCCGATTTATGATTTCGAGCTGGATAACAAAAACAAAGAATATACAAAGGCCATCATATAAATTGCTATAATCCAAACTGTAGCAATAATAGACAATAAGTAGTGACGGCATTGATAGTAACAATAGTTGTGATTGTCGTGGTCATGCTGGCAATAGTGGTGATAGTGGTAGCAGCATTAGTAGTAGAGAGTGTGTTAACCTGTGGATCAACTGCTTTAACAACTTCAACTGGTTGGAGTTTAAAACCAAGCATCCATCCTTCAAAAAGAACGACCTAAAAACCATAGAGAAATAAATAAGATAGAAGAATGTAACTGAGAAAGAAAAATCAATTGAAGGCCTGGGATCTGAGAGTTTCCACTATATCTAATCATCCAAAAAGTGAAATCCAAATATGGCACCTGGAAGATACAGCACTTGAAATTACTCATACCGCTAAGGGTCCTTCAACCTCAGGCCATGTTGAAGGATCAGCCCTGTTACCCCTCCCACCAAATGCCGACTGTACACCAAACGATGGAGTGTCATCCTTAAGTATTGAATACAGTGGTAACAATGTGTGTGTATGTGTGTGTACATAGACACAACGATGGTATACATATACAACATTTATATAACGAGGGAAATTTATCAAAGTACCCATAAGGCATGAATAATTTAACACTTTAGCTATGTTTTTTATTTAACTTTAAAATACCTATGAAAAAAGACATGGTCTTGAGTTGGAATAATTTCATAAGGATAAAATTTTCAATAGTTAATTCCTTATGCGTATTTTGATGAAGTTCCCATATATCTGTGTCTATCCCCCCTCTCATGCATTCATTAAATTAAAATATGTACATCTTTACATGTGAATCTTCACACAATCTAATAAATTAGAGTCAACCATCAAATGTATATGTGTGTGTGAGGGGCACAGATAGGTGAATGTAGCTTGGAGCCTGAGCAACTTAAATTGTGCTTACCTTATCATACCTTGGAAGCTTCATCTTTTTACCTGAAACCCATATATTATTGCTTTAAGAAAAAAAAAAAGAAGAAAAAAAAAAAAACTTAAGGAAAAAGGTAGCTCATTAATCTAAGTACACATTATGTATCATGCTTGTAGTGGGTGTTTTTGAATAATAGCAGCCAGTATAAAAGGAAAATAATCTCATTGTTGTTTGAGAAACAATTTACCCCACAGATCATACACATGTGTAGCATTGAAGCATTATTTACCTTCATAAGCAGGAGGCCGGGCATACTGTCTCCCTTCATGCAACTGGTTGGTGGATGGGGGGTTCCACAATATCAAGGTAGACTATGAAGTGGATTTCTTGACACATTGTCAAATGCCCCAAGGGAAAGTCAAAATATGTTTATGACACAATGAAGTTTCAATATGGCAGGCACACAAGCATGTCTCCATAAGCGTGAGAGTTGTATTTTGTGCATCACATACTTTACCAGTTTATGCATAGGGAGAGCATTTTTTGCACTCCTAAAGCAGTGGTGGCTATGTGATGCAGCTCAGAATACTACTCCCGAGTATCTAGTAAGAAAGACAAGCTTAAAGTTTACAAGAGGAACCCTAGAAGGGGAAATTAGGCATTGAGTCTATCCTTTTTTGTTTTTTATTTATTTCTTGAGTCCTTTTAATTCACTTAGGGGCATAAGTAGTAATTTCTAGAGTCAAGGCTCGCCCGTGCGGCACTCGTGCCTCCTTGCTACCCAAGTCAACCTAACCCAAGTAAGTTGCCCCTATTGGGAGTTCTTAGACCACGAACACACTCTCCACGAGCACTCAAAGGGACAACGATACAGCGAAAACAAGCAAAGACAAGCACTTGGGAGGCCTGCCTTTATTGAATTGAATAGTAAAAAAAAAGTCAAAAAGGAAGAGCTATACAAGACTTGTGAGCAGAATGCTTGAAGACTTCTGAAGGATGGTCCCAAATGAGGGGCCTTCTCCAATTTATTTTATAGGCACTTGGCCTTTTTATATATTTTTATTCTCTTAAAGTCTTGTATAATGAAGGCCTATGATTAGATTAGATGGATAGTGATTCAGTTTTCGAAAATTCGCCCACCTGACCGCCTAGGCTGAAATTTTTTAAAAACGACTAGGCACTTGCTAGGCGGGGTCATTATGCGTCTTGCATCTGGGAGCTCGCCTAGAAGAGCTAGGCGCGAGAGTCTGGGCGCCTGCCTAGGTACCGCCTCGTGACAGGCTGAGAAAATGCGGAAAATGGGTCTCATTTAGGGTTAAAAAAAGCCGTTTTTCCAACCTAAAAAGAGGGGAAAAGGGTTATTCAGGGAATTCTAAACCCCCAAAACAAAAACCCTGGCTTTTAGGGTGAGAAAAACTCCCCAAAAACCACTCTTTTGAGATTTACCAAAAGATTGAGAACTTTTTATTTTTTCAATTTCTTCACAAAACAAAGGCAATATAGTTCATAGCTGGATTTGGAGCTTCTAGTAATTGATTTTCAGGGATTTTGGCAACCCAATAAACGAGGTTTGCACCAACATCAATTTGATTTTTCTTTTTTAAAATTATTATCATATTTGAAAGAGGGTTTTGATTTGATTTTGCTACAATATATTATGTTGTAAATCATGTGTTTTTCTTTTATTTTTTATTTTTTTCTGCTATATTTACATGTTTATAGTTAAAAGATTGATTTTTTTGTAATTGATTGAATTATTTCTCACTTGGACGATGATGAAATTGAGCATATATCGTACGCATTCTTTTATCAATAATTGATTCTTTTTTTGTACAATGTGTCATGTTTTGATATCCTATTATTTTTGTTGCACTTTATTTGATAAATAAACTAAGGATGGTATTGTAGCACGGTACTGTAGCACGGTATTGTAGGATGTTACTGTAGATCAACAATCATGCCTCCACGCATAGGAAAAGGAGGAAAAGCAACCACTATAGAAGCCTTTGATGCTAGTTTGCGAAAAGGGATTGCAAATCTGAGGAGATCGATCGAAACCTCAGCTTAGCGTTTGGCGCAGATGGAAGCCCCATCTCAAGAGGATGAGATCGAGGCAAATGAGGAATCCATAAATCCCTTCCATGATCAAGCTCCAAGGAGAGAGGTAGTTGATCCTACGGATAGGGATAGTAGGAGGTGGGAAACCAGTCTCAAGGTTGAGATGCCAGAGTTTTATGATAAGGACAACAAGCATTCTTTCGAAGATGATCCCATCTATGATGAGCCAGTTGATCAAGATGACTCGGAAGTGATCTATAGTGATCATAGGGACTTACCACCAATCTTTGATGTGTACCCTGATGAGGATTCGAGTTTGGTGGATTTTATTATGAAATTGGTGAACCTACCTTTGATGAAAAGAAGGAGGTCTTATTTTCAATGAAGAACATGCTATTAGCCAGGAAGATAATCGTGGTGATGGTGTCTATGAAGATTTGGGTGATAAGAAAGAAGTCGGCAATCATTACTTTAATAGTGATCCAATCCATAAAGAGGATCAAGAAGAAGATCCTACTACTGAAGATGATTTTGTGGGTGCTCCTATTTTTATGAGGAACAGGGTGGACGTCAAGGAATTGCTCCCAAAATATTGGAGGTAATGGGTTTCTTAGTCCCCATAGAAAATAGCGAGTACAATGGTGTTGACAGAGGTAATGATGACGGTGTTGTTCTTCTTCAAGTTTTACCTGAATTTAGGGTGTCACATGATATTCACACCAAAGAGTTCAAGGTATTTTCCCCTGAACTCTCAGCTAGTGAGAGAATTCAGGATGAGTCATTGCTCTGCTTTAATGGAAGAACTAAATTTGTTCCTTGTCATCTTCCCCCAAAGACTAAACCTAAGGAGCCTAATATTGGCATGTTGACTTCACCCAATTCAGTAAGAACAAGCCTCATAGTTCAAAGTTTTTCTCGCATCTTAAGAAAAGAGTTTTCCTTAGATATGTTTATGATTGATAGTGTTGTGCACTTGTATTGCAGCAGTGTTAGATTCAATGTGCACAAAACATGATGGATGAGATATCTATGAGAGGCGCCATGACCGAGAAAACATTGATCTCTAGTTATTCTGAATTGTATATTTTTAAGCTCGAGTGACAATATTTCCAAGAGATGAAAACTTCTGGGTTTTGGTCTTCTCAATATACTCTTGCTGGTATTGTTACATCAAAATCGTGTAGTGGACGATTGGAAAGTATGGAAGCAGTTAAGCAGACCCACGCTAATGCTGTAAAAACTTGGGGTTGGCTGTAATTTTACACTGGTATTGCACTCTCATCAATTCATTGCAAGATTGGCAATATCCTTTTGGCAGATTCAATGCTCAATCTTACAAGTCATAGAGGTGAGATTTCCTACAAAGTTATTTTGAATGGATATCTCTGAGAACATATGATTAGAAGTGATCCATATTAGTTTGTGGTCCCTTAGTCCATATTAGTTTGTTGTATCCATGTTACTTTTTGAAATAGTGAAATATTTGTGAATAAATATTGCTTCCTCTTCACCCCTATCATCGTTCTTTCCTATTTTCAATCAAATTACTATACCAATGCTTCCGCAAATTCCCAACATTCGGTATCAAAACTATATCCCTGCGTTTTTTGAAAAACCCATTCCTATTCGGGAATGGATTTTACCCAAAGCCTAATTCCTATTTTAGATGGAGAAGACTACGAGTCATGGAGTCTCCAAATGAAGACTCTTTTTATCTCACAAGATTTGTGGGACATTGTGAAAGAAGGCTACTCTGCCAGAAATTGTAGCAGCATTGGAATCATGGTCGCGGGCAAAGCATAACGAGTACAAAAAAAATAAGAGGAGAGATGCAAAAGCCTTACTCTTCATCCAACAAGCTGTAAGTAAAGCTATCTTTCCTCGAATAAAAATAGCTTCAAAATCAAAAGAAGTGTGGGAAATTTTGAAAAATGAATTTCAAGCATCTGAAAAAATAATTTCTATCAAGCTACAAAATTTATGAAGAAATTTTGATAATTTGATGATGAAAGGTGGTAAAACAATTCATAATTTCTTCACTAGAGTTACATGAATAATAAATCAGATCAGATGTTATGGGGAAGATATTTCTGATAAAAAAAATAGTTCAAAAAATTTTAAGAAGCCCACCTGTAAAATTTGACCATGTTGTGGTTGCTATAGAAGAATCATAAGATTTATCCAAACTATCTTTACAAGAATTAAGTGAGTCTTTGGAAGCACATGAACAAAGGATAAATAAATTTTCAAATGAGAACATGGAACAAGCTTTTCAGTCAAAGATTACAATTTCTGAAAAGAAAAATTTTGAAGAAAAAAGAGACAGGGGAACATTTCAAAATTATCAAAGAGCTCATGGAAGAGAAAATTTTTCAAGAGATCAAGAAAAAGGAAGAGGAAGAAATATAAACCGCCAAAGAAATTCAGATCAGAAAAATAGATCTGAATCATATTGTATTATTTGTAAAAAATCAGGGCATGAATCAAAGAATTGCCGATATAAATGTCAAAAATGCAAAATCCCAAATCATTCTCAAAGGGATTTCTGGTTTCAAAAAAAAAATCAAATTCAAAAAAATGAAGTAAATTTTTCTGAAGATAATAATACAAGTCATATGTTCTATTCATGCATGAATGCCCAACAAAATTCACAAGATGTTTGGTACCTGGATAGTGGATATATAAATCACATGACAGGAAATAAGAGCAATTTTGTTGAAATAAATGAAAAAGTCACTTCACAAGTCAACTACAAGATGGAAAACTCCGTAATGTTGAAGGAAAAGGCATAATTGCTGTAAAACCTAAAGGAGGTTGCCCTAAATTCATTCATGATGTTCTTTATGTTCCTGGTTTGATACAAAATCTTTTAAGTATTGGGCAAATGATGAAAAATGGGTATTCAATCAATTTTAATAGAGATGAATGTATAATCTTTGATAAGAAAATTAGTCACACCATAGCCCGAGTAAAAAGGACCCCAAATAAGGTATTTCCTATGGTCATG